CGCTCACATTGTGCTTTAGTTAATCTATTTTCTCACTGGTTACTTCCTTCAAAAGCTTCAATTTCATTCAATTTGCCTTTAGTCCAGATCAGGCATGCAACCATCCCAAGCTAGGGCTCGCTGATCGGCAGCGAACATGTTCGGTTGCGAACGGTTTGGTGACCGAACATGTTCGGTTACGAACGGTTTGGTGACCAAACATGTTCGGTTACGAACGAACATGTTCGGTCACCAAACCGTTCGATGCCGATCAGCGATTCCTAGTTTGGGATTGTTGCACGCCTATTCTTTAGGTTGCCCCAGAGACGTGGTTACGTAGCTTTTACAGTTCAAGGAAGGTTTCCTAGTCACACAGAAAAGTTAGAGCTTGGATGCTAAAAAATATTGTGTGGCAGTTAGAATCCCCCGTCGATCTTGAAAAGGTAAAATGTCCATCCACTAATAGAAGTTGAATTGAACTTCAGTCTAGGGACGAGTGAATCGGAAGCCGATAAACGTTACTTGTTTCTATAGTCCAGTTTCATCTTTAGCAACAACTAATTATACTTCTAAAGTCCACTTTTACATGGCCTTTCATTTGATATAAAAATACTTTACGATATTATTTAGACTTTAGGCTGTAGAAGAGAACGTAATGGTTTTATGACACGGAGTATTTATCGATACATTTCTCTTCTAGAATGAAGCACAGTACATCAGCAAGGCAAACTATCGATTAAGTCGAAACGAAGTTGTCACCAACATTCTTGTATTCATGGCGGCAGGGTATGAAACATCATCAACGGCTCTGGCGTATGCAACGTATGAACTTGCCAGACATCCCGAGGTTCTCCAGAAACTTCAAGCTGAAATCGATCAGCTTACGCTGGACAGCAATGATCAGTCCGACCAGAAAACAACATATCCCGATTATGATATAGTCGCGCAGATGCCTTATATGAACATGTTCGTTTCCGAGGTCTTAAGAATACATCCGATTGGAAATGGAGCGATTCGTAGATATGCTGTAGAAGATACGGTCATCCAAGGAATTGGAATTGAAAAAGGTAATATATATATTTTCATGGTATTCAAGTTTCTAACTTTTCTTAACTATTGAAGAATCCGTAGAAGTTTGATCATAATCGATAGAGTTTTTCTTTCTGAATGTTAGTAATTGCTCTAAAATGCCTTCCGTTGATCTATGAAAGTTGAACATGAAACTATATGAACATATCTATGTACGAAAAGAAAACTGAGAAGGTAAGTCACTTGTACTTTTTTGTATTAAATCGTTAATAATTTTTTCAGGAAGTGCCTTCTCGAATCACACGTATTTTTTGTTATTTCAAGGTACTGCAGTGCATGCTGATATTTATTCAATCCATTTCGATCGTGAACTTTGGGGTCCAGAAGATCCATATGTGTTCTTTCCTGAGCGTCATAAAACAAAACGACATCCAATGGCTTACCTACCGTTTGGAGCGGGACCACGACATTGTATTGGCATGCGTTTTGCGTTGATCGAGATAAAAATTCTACTGGTGCGACTGCTTCGCGAATATTCGATTCTGCCCGGTGAGCATCTTGAAAGCAAATTCAACGTCCGTGAAGTAGCAACCATCGTACCGGAAGCAGTTTGGGTCAAACTAGGAAAAAGAAATGCTTGAAAGAATCATACAGGACTTATCCAGCTAACATTTTCCCCTCGACTGAAACGAGGGTCTTACGAAATAAATGATTGTGTGTTTGTCTGCCTGTAACCGCGTCAAAAGAACATTGCCGGTAACGAAACTAACTGTGAGACGTTGGGATGCTCTCGGGGGTAACTCGACGTGGGGAGCATGAATCCGGGATCCAAATACCTCGAAACCCCATTGGTCGACCGGGAACCAATGGAAATCGAGTTTACGTGAAAATTCTCCCATAGTTCTAATTGATGTGTTTATGGTTGCTATTGCGTTTATTTTTGGTTACCTCTATAAGGAAAATGTCAGTTCCCTGACGGGGAGCTGGCTATCAGTTCTACTCAAATCCTCGGTTCCTTACGTTAGGTATTGTCATTTCCTTCGAAGAAATTGAGGAATTCAGAAGGAATTTTGGGTGTAATGTTTATGTCATTTCCTTACTTTTTCCAGGAAATATTTCTTACTATACACGCTGTGTCACCTCAATTCCCCAGTTCCCCCGGGGAAATGATGGTAGGTCCGTCCTAGGTACCCAGTAAGAACTGAGGAACTGCCAGCAGAACTGAAATAATTCCTCGATTCCCCGGCGTGTTTTTTTTTCAGGAAATATTTCTTACTATACAGTCTGTGTCACGTCATTTCCCTCAGTTCCCCGGGGAAACGGTCGTAGGCTCCTTCTAGGTGCCCGGCAGGGGCTGTGGAACTGTCAGCAGAACTGAGATAATTCCGCGATTCCCCGGCTTTTCTTTCTTTTTCCAAGAAAGTTTTGCGTTTATGGTTGCTATTGCGTTTATTTTTGGTTATCTCTATATGGAAAATGTCAGTTCCCTGACGGGGAGCTGGCTATCAGTTCTACTCAAATCCTCGGTTCCTGACGTTAGGTATTGTAATGGGCTCATTTCCTTCGAAAAAATTGAGGAATTGAGAAGGAATTTTGGGTGTAATGTTTATGTCATTCCCTAGTCGCGTTATTACCTAACGGGGAATTGTCCAGGAAATATCGAGGAAATGTGTAGTGAATGATGGTCGTTTCCCAATTCCTCAGGGGATTATATATATTTGTATGGTATTATTAGGAATTGAGAGAATTCCTATTTCTCAGTTCTTGGACACTGCTGAAGTTTGCCGGCGTCAACTATTTAACATCGACAAGAGACGACAATGCTACCCTACATGAAATCGCTACATTACGTCCAGATGGAACATTCACTGGTGTCAATTCCGATGAAGACATTAATCTTTATTCAGACAATCCAGAAGATTTGGGATATACTGATCTGAATGGTGTCTGGAGATGTGCTGGCAAACCTGGTCAAATCACAATCAGTGCATTGGACTTCTCATTTCCAAATTTGAGACTCCCATGTACAAGAGTATTAGAGCGTACAACATACACACTTGAGATCAACAAAGAATGTACGCAAGTCTCAGGTGGATTAACATATAGCGGATATCAATTGGAATCGACTTCTAGTGCTAATCAAAAACAACAAGTAGTTTTGTATGGTCCGTATTCATGGACAGTTCAATGGTACAAAGTATTCGATTTATGTGAGAAAAAGAAAGAGAAACATTCGTATGGTGGAAAAGGGAAATACGAATGATGGAGATCATTAGAGAGATGATTCAAATATTTTAGCAGTGATAGAAGATTTTATTTCAATTACTTTCTTTTGTTTGTTGAACTGAGATTGATGCATGAATAAAGATCTACTCGATGTTTCGAACTTTACCATCAACTATGTCCTCTATAATAATCTCCATTCTGTATAATTGCTTGACAAGATGCTTAAAATGCTGACAAGTAGCAGACACCGGACAATTGTACACATAAATGTTGTATTTATTTCACTCGTGTAACGATATTTTACTTAACACCGCTGATGTTCCTTAAATTTAAATTAATGTGACGTTTTTATAAAAGTCCCTTTTCCTTGCTGAGGAAAGTCGACTTTACCGGGCAAAATCGAAATCCGGAAACTAATTCGCAATTTTCGCCACCAGAATTCAAGTTTCAGGCAGTGAAAATATCATAGTCGGAATCAGCGTCCAAAATTGAGTGAAGCTGAAGTTGAATGCTCCGCCGATCGATTGAGCGATGACACATGTCTCCGGTTCCTCATACAGAAAACTTAAAAATGAGTTACGTTCATTCTCTTCCGATGCATTCGAGCGTCCATTATAGACACACTTTTAGCTCCAGAATGGCTTCAATAATATTTTCTAATCCGGTTTTGGACGCAGAATTAGGAAAGTGGTTTGAATCTTTGAAGTTTGGACAGAAGTGAAAAAGTTCAAGTTATCAGAATAGGACGATTGTTACGAAAAAAGAGATCACAGCATTTTCAAACTTTTTCAATGAAAACTTGCACTAAATAGTTTAAGGAGGTACTATTCGTGATCATTGGCTTCCAGACAACAGAAAAGTCAGGTTGTATATAGGAATATCACGCATGGAAAAAAGTGGAAGAATATATCACCTTGGGCTCCGTTGTTCAGTTTTCGTTACGAGGAAACATATACAACTGATCGCGCGGTCTTTTACCCAAACGTACTGGGTTATAGGTTATTGACTGTGCTGATTCCGAATATCAACATGAGACGGGCCTTGATTTGCGCAAATTGACACTTTTCCATTTTGGAGACTTTGGATTTGCGTTAGGATTCACAAAAAAACGTTTCGATTTTGGCGAGTTTGGATTTGCGGCAGAATTCTCGAAATTCTCAAAATTCTCAACCTGCCTCACACTTTTCGATTTGCAAAGTTTCGGATTTGCGTTAGAATTTTCAAAATTCTCAACCTTCGTCACACTTCTCGATTTGGGAGACCTTCGATTTGCGCTAGAATTCTCAAAATTCTCAACCTGCGTCACACTTTTCGATGTGTAAAATTTTGTATTTGCCGTAGTGTTCTCAAAATTCCCAACGTTCGTCACACTTCTCGACTTGGGACACTTTGGATTTGCACCATAATTCTCAAAATTTTGGATTTACGTTAGGATTCTCCAAAAAACTTTTCGATTTGGAAGACTTTGGATTTGCGTCAGGATTCTCAAAATACTCAACTTGCTTTACACTTTTCCATTTTGGAGACTTTGGATTTGCGTTAGGATTCACAAAAAGACGTTTCGATTTTGGGGAGTTTGGATTTGCGGCAGAATTCTCGAAATTCTCAAAATTCTCAACCTGCGTCACACTTTTTGATTTGCAAAGTTTTGCATTTGCGTTAGGATCCTCAAAATACTCAACCTGCTTTACACTTTTCGATTTTGGAGACTTTGCATTTGCGCTAGAATTCTCAAAATTCTCAAACTCTGTCTCAACCTGTGTCACACTACTCTCGATTTGGGAGCCTTTGGATTTGCGGTAGAATTCTCGAAATTCTCAAAATTTTCAACCTGCGTCAAACTTCTCGATTTGGGAGAGTTTGGATTTGCACCAGAATTCTCAACCTGCTTCAGACTTTACGATCTGGAAAATTTTGGATTTGCGTTAGGATTCTCAAAACACTCAACTTGCATTACACTTTCCGATTTCGGAGACTTCGGATTTGGCTAGAATTCTCAAAATTCTCAACATTCGTCACACTTCTCGATTTGGGAGACTTTGGATTTGCCGTACAATTCTCGAAATTCTCACAATTCTCAAACTGCGTCACACTTTTCGATCTCCAATATTTTGGATTTGCGTTAGGATTCTAAAAACACTCAACTTGCTTTACACTTTTCGATCTTGGAAACTTCGGATTTAGCTAGAATTCTGAAAATTCTCAACCTGCGTTACAGTTTTCGATTTACAAAGTTTTGGATTTACCCTAGAATTCTCTAAATTCTCAACCTTCATCACACTTCTCGATTTGGAAGACTTAAGATTCTCGAAATTCTCAACCTGGGTTACACTTTTCCATTTGCAAGGATTCTCAAAATTCTCAACCTGAGTCACACTTTTCGATTTGGGAGACTTTAGATTTGCGTTTGATCGAAAAGTGTGGCACAGGTTGAGAATTTTGAAAATTCTAGTCTCCAAAATCGAAAAGTTTTTTTGAGAATTCTAACGCAAATCCAAAATTTCACACATCGAAAAGTGTGACACAGGTTGAGAATTTTGAGAATCCTAACGCAAATCCAAAATTTACCAGATCGAAAAGTGTGATGCAGGTTGAGAATTTTGAGAATTCTAGCGCAAATGCAATCAAAACTCTCAACGTTCGGCACACTTCCCGATTTGGGGACTTTGGATTTGGCAGAATTCCAGAAATTCTCAAAATTCTCTACCGGCGTCACACTAGACGATTTGGGAGAGGTTGGATTTCCGCTAGAATTCTCAAAATACTCAACCTTCGTCACACTTTTCGATTTGGTAGAGTTTGGATTTGCGTCAGGACACATTCTTAACCTGCGCCACACTTTTCGATCTGCAAAATTTTGTATTTGCGTTAAAATTCTGAAAAAAACTTTTCTATTTGGGAGACTTTGGATTTCCGCCGGAATTCTCGAAATTCTCAAAATTCTCAACCGGCGTCACACTTCTCGATTTTGCAGACTTTGGATCTGAACGAGAATTCTCAAAATTCCCGAAATCCTCAACCTGCGGCGCACTTTTCGACTGGCAAAATTTCGGATTAGGGTTTGGATTCTCAGAATTATCAAGCTGCATGACACTTTTCGATCTGTAAAATTTTGGATTTGTGTCAGAATTCTCAAAATTCCCAAAGTTCCCAAAATTCTCAACCTGCGTCACACTTTTCGATCTGTGAAATTTCGGATTTGCGTTAGGATTCTCAAAATACTCAACTTGCTTTACACTTTTCGATTTTGGAGACTATGGATTTGGCTAGAATTCTCAAAATTCTCAACCTGCGTCACACTTTTCGATCTGTGAAATTTTGGATTTGCGTTAGGATTCTCAAAATACTCAACTTGCTTTACACTTTTCGATTTTGGAGACTTTGGATTTGCGTTAGGACTCTCAGAATTCTCAACCTTCGTCACACTTTTCGATTTGGAAGACTCAGTCTTCGACGCTCTTTCGAATGGTTTAATCGGGATTTCCTTTTCACACACTCATTCCTAATCCAGATTCAGCAACTACTCTAAAGAGTATGACACTTTTGGCTTAAAATCGCGTTTTCATCCTAAGGAGAAAAGCTTTTCAAAATTATTTTTTTATTAAAATGTAGACCGCGCTTTCTTCTATCGACTGATGTAGTTTCCATATTTTGTCAATGCTTATACAGCGTAAAAAAGATTTTCATCAACTGTATGGAGAAGTTTTACCGACCGGAAAACGTTCACTTTTCGATCTAATGGACCTACAAAGAGTAACAATGAATATTTCTAACTGTTTTTATCTATGAATATACTAGAGAGAGTGGAGAATATTTTGGTGCGAACCGCTTGTCAAAAGCTTTTTTCTTTACCGCGTTATAATCAAAAGAAAAAGAGGAGTAGGGTGTATTGAAAATTTTATTCCATATTTTTTTTTTAATTTATTTAGAAAAAGTACGATCTTATATGAAATAGCTTCGTATTTGATTTAACAGCGATATTAAATTTTAACATCAATCAAATAACTTTCAGATTAATTCTGCCTGTAGTTTACGTTTGCTTTAAAAGTTAAAGTTAAGCCATGCATATGTCGAACGAGAAGTACAAATGGTAAAAAAACTGTGGCACTATCATCTAAGAAGTCTAGTATCTCAATAGATCGGTAAACTATCAGTTTACTGTAACAATTTTAGCTCTGCGTCTTGTTTCCTCATTGAATCCAAAAATCGTTGTTGATTTCATGTTAAACACTATTGCAATGAAAGTGAATAAAACTTAATATTTTCAAACTGGAAACCTTGGAAGGAATCTGCTTTTGAGAATGAGATCCAAGAATGGATGTATACACCTTATTTATATCGGAGAACTGCAAATTTGTACAATTTGGGCTCCTCTGGTCAAGACGTTCCCGAGTTATGCCCAAGAGAAGAGCTATTTTTGTGATATTTTGCGTGGACACAGGCCAGTGGCGACACAAATACTGAATTTTCTCTGTTATTTCCCAACTTTTTGCCAAAGCCATTATTATGAAAATATAGAGAAATGGACGGGCTACAAAACTGTCTACAGCAGCATAACAGGCAGCTCAAAATCTATCCTGAATTTTGGGTGAAAACTGCCTCCCAAAATGGTAGTTTTAGAGTCTGAGTTCTCAAGAACGTTATCATTTGTGACCTTTAAATAGTATTCATAGATACTTTCACATATATTCTATCTGAAAAAACGATTTAAAACCTCAAGTTTCGTTTCTCTTCAACAGAATGGGTCTCCACAGTAGGTTAAATTCGAGTTTCATATGTTAGGACGAAAGTAGTTCTAGAGCTCGAGTTTACCTCATTTTGTAGTGCACAGTGCTGCCACATACATCAAGCATCGCGAGCACATAGTTGGACATTCTGTGAAATTTTGAGCTTCCCATGACCTGCGCTAAGCTGCGCGTGTCCACTTTGCTAAACTTAGCCGTTTGAAAAACAGATACTGCGGAAAGAAAAGTCATTTTTCCAAACATGAAAAAGTTTTTAAAAAAATTGTGTTTACGAATAGATAGAGTGAACGCTCTAGTTTCACACTACGTATTATTTACAAATAAATATCTTTCGCTTCGTGCAGTATAGACTGATTTTTCATATAACCGTGGTTTTTCAGCTAAATTTTGGAAATGCGACTTACGAAAAACCATAGTAGCTGAAATAAAAGATTTTGTGCCATCAGATAGAGCACGTCTTGAGCGGTGTTGCTCACTATAAGAATTAATTTCTAAATGAATTTCGGACAGGTCAGCCCGTGAGGTATCTTTTGTTTCTAAACAGGTAAATAGTTTATTGTAAAAATTTAGCTGCGTCTTGCTTCCTCAATGAGTTCAGAAGAGTAGATGGCAACAACCTTTTTTTTGCAGAACGTTTATTCCTCAATTTGTTTCTGCGTAAATCTTCACGACCAGCTCAGTGGTTTTCCAGAACAAACTTCTTCTTCGATACAGTAACATTCGAAGGCTCGTATTGGTACTTAAACTTGAAGTAGACAACTGGACAAGAAGGCAAGATCCAAAGCTAATGTTTTTGCAATAAAGTATCTATGTGTTGAGCAATAAAATCCTTATGTCAAAAGTCAATTCTGAGACGCTTCACGGGCTGATCTGATTGATATTCTCAGAAACTGAGCCTTAAACTGCGATATAAAACTGACTTAGCAAACCGAAAAGCAGCTAACAAGGCGATCAATATGGCTCCAAAAATCACTGTTGGTTTCATGTAAAACATTGTTACCATAAACGTGAATTAAACTGAATATTTTCCAATTGGAAACTTTGGAAGGAATCTATTGTTGTTGAGAATGAGACCCAGAAATGGATGTAAATGGCATCTACTTATGCAATAAAGTACATAAGACACAAAATAATCAAGATCAGGTTTTACTATCTTTTAAATTTATAACTCAGAACGCCAAGCTAGTTGATTGCAGTCATTAATAAGTAACTTATCGATGACTGCAAGTGTGTGACACGCTTAACTTTAATTTTTTTTCTATACACGGTGTATCTTTGACAACCACATTCTTACCGAGTACGCAATAACGCCAGGTTTTTGAAAAAAATTAAAATCCTTAGTCAATTACTCGGTGTATGCCTAGTGTCAATAAGAGAATTCAACAAATCAATTAATTTACGGCAGAGATTCTTCAGCCATCAGTCGTCAGGTAAGATGAAACTATTCATAAATTTTCGAATTAGTTTATGCCTGAATTAAATACGAATGTGGTCTTGTCCTTAAACATTACTGGACGCGAAGGAGTACTGCTGACATAAACCGAAGTACTACCGTCCTCTGAGATATTCATAATTGATTAAACAGCCTGAACTCAAAGTTAGTAGTGTTATAGGTAAGCTTAGGTATGCACTGGTTTCGGTTTTCAAACCGAAAAAGTGACAAGAAAAAACCGATATTCGGTTTAAACACTGAAAAAGTCGGACATTTTCTCATTAAAGCAATTTTCATAAATGGTAGGACACTATATAGTACCTATAGGCAAAAGATCATCGAAGTCCTTGAGAGGTCTCCTCGTTAGCATTACTGTGAAATTTTGTGTCTCAACAGCTATATGTAACTCGAGAAGTCGCAGGACAAAACACAGATCATCAGAAGAAGAAACATATGGCATAGTCTATTCACTAAAGGGCAAATGCCAGATATTAAATTCGTTCGTTAAGCCAAGATGTGGATTTGTGTGTACTTTTTTCTGGTTTTAGTGGTTTTAGCTTTTTGACTGTCGGTTGACCGAAACCGGTACAGATAAAACCAACAGTGCATAACAATCTATAGGATTTCTGGAATTCTCCTATGCTTGCACCGAAGACAATGTAAAAAAACTTTTTTAACACTACAGATTTGTAGAGAACGTTTTTCTCTACAAAACTAGTATATGTAAAAGTAAAATAAATATGATTCCAAACAGTCGGATACATTTTTCTACTTGGACGAATGAGCGATGGCAATGTTCGGATGGCTTCAACTAGAAGCTAAGTTCAGATTTTGTCGAAAAAAGCTTCAAGAACGGATGTTGCATGGAGAAAAAAGTTCTCTACAAATCTTTAGTATTAAAAAAGTTCTAATTGAGAAATTATTTAAATTTTTAATTATCCCGGTTCCGGTCCCGTAAAGTTGTTGCGGTCCCGGTTCTGGTTCCGGTCCCGTTAAAAAGACTATTTTGGTCCGCGGAAAGGGACTGTCCCGCCCATGTCTGGTACACATCCTCTCCTTTCTATGTAGTCATTTTTACTTATTTGTTGTAGTACATCAATGAGCAGAACAGACGTAAAGTTTACTCTTTTTCTTTGTCTGTATACATATATTATTTATCCATTATCTAGATCAGATAACTATATCAGAACATGTATTTCCTTTCTATTCATTAAGTGAAGAAGTGCCGCTAAGATAAGATCGTTTTATATTGTGTAGTCTGCGTCCGTCTTGTACATTTTAAACTTTAAAATGATAATTGCAATACCTGATCCCTTTACTACGATGTACTTTGTGAAAGCATTTGCGGTTTTATTTAACAAGTACTTGTTAAGTGAGGCAAGTGCTTATAAATAAGTTTACTTCTGGAAATAAGGCAGGTATCAGCTTCATTATGTAAGCGAATTACTTGTCTTAGGTGCATTCACTAGAGAAGGATCATATGTGTATTCTCTTCATAAAGATAAAGCCGTAGCGAACGTTTTTATTAGCTTGACGAAAACTAAGCCCATATACTGTACGTGAAACAAATTTGAGAGAAAAAGTGAATAAAAATCATTCTTTCCGTATGTTATGTGCTAATGAACTAGTCAGAAAAACAACTTAAGATAATATTTCATCGTTTCTTTACCTAATCGTCACTTAGAGGAACATCTTTTGTTTCAGGCAACAATAACGTCAGTAAAATTATGATTAAAGATGCATTTCATAAATGATATCATCCACTGGTAAAAAAATATTTCTTATCATAACTGAAGATCATATTTATGAACAACAGCAAAGCAAAAGCAGAATAAACATAAAACGTAATTCGAATGTATTTTTCACCAATTGACGAATCGATCACTGCAGCAAGTATCGCTCCAGCTCGATTAGTAGCAGTGAAGAATCCATTGGCAGAACCACGAATCGATGTAGGAAATAATTCGGGCACATAAATCCATGAGACACAAACTGATCCGCTAATAGCATATTTTCCTAGCTGAGCAATGATAACTGTGGGTAATGGATGTTGTTTCATCAAAAATGGAATAATGAGTACACATAAGAGTGTCAACGCTGTAAATACAATAAATGCATATTTCCGTCCTAATCTTGTGGTTAACAGAATACTTCCGCTAATGTATCCGGCGACTTCTACGGCCGCTCCTATAAGAATTCCGACATAGGGTGAGATACCTTGCATATCAGCCAGACCGTAGGATATTTTTATGTAGAGTAGAAGAGTAATAAACCCTATAGCACCAATAATCAATAGTTTATATATTGTTGCTCGTTGCGATAATACTCGTTTGGATTTTTGTATAAATGATAATTTATTTTGTGCTACAACACGCAGTGATTGTGCTCCTATAAATTCCTGAAAATATGGATACCAATCTGATTCCTTACGTTTGTTCAAATGGGCCATTTTTCTTAGCAACTGTTCTAATTTTGTGTACTCATTTTTTGAATATAGAAATAGTGGTGATTCGGGCATAAAATAAAGATAAGGTAAACTGACACCAATAAATAACAAATTTGTCCATTTTAAAATTTGCCAGTTTTTAGATAAATAAGCAAATAAAGTTTGAAAAGCTTCGCCTAGTGCGAATCCAACTTGAGCGGAGTTGCCGGCCAGACTTGCATGTGATGAACTTGTTAATTCTAACAGAAGGACAAAAACAATACTGAACAATGATTGAATCGAACCAGCTGTAAAATGATTCAATAATAAAACACCAAATCTACAATATGAAAAGAGTCTTGTCAAGCAAACGTTAAAAGCCCTCGCTACTAAACTTTAGCCATTTTGATTTGAAAGTAGATTGTTGAAAAAGCAAAGGAATAGTCTCGGTTATTTTTTAGAATAACTCAAGAATACAAAGAGATAGAATCTACAGACTGCTTGATCAAAGACGTGCGCTTTATTCTTAATTTTTTCATACGTATGTTGATTGCTCTACCGCAAATCCTACAAGACTCTGTTGGTTCGAGCGTGCTCTAGAATCGGCTTTACCCTGACGCAATATGCGCATGTTCCCACTATACAAAAGCACTAGTTTAAATATAAGCATATATCCAACTTTTTAAGAAAGAAGCGAATGAGCATGTAGTCAAATACTGTACACTGCTAATTTCAGGATCCATATACCACTTTTAAGTATATCGAATGTATCTAAGCGGTTTTAACGTTTTTCTCAAAAAGTCTTTTACTAAAAAACTTTCTAAAAAACCCTGGTGCTATAGTCAGTTTTAAGTCGATTGGCGTAATATTCGACTGTAGAGTAAACATTTCTGATCGAAGTCCGACATTAACACGAACTTCACCGTTTCTCTAAACTGTAGCACGTTATGAACTGTTAGTCTCTATTGCACGATTGTACCTGCTGGGATCCTGTCATTCGAATGTCTCGCTACTATACCGTTATTTGCTCAAATTTTAGTCGAAACTGGCTCCATTTCGAATCACTGAATATATGGATAGCCAGATGTATTTTTTCATTGAGGTATATCATTCCTGTTTCTTCTGTTTAGCAACTTACACGTATCCTTTTACGGTTATACCATTACCTTCCCGAAACAAAACTTTGATAAAGATATTAGTAAGGACGTTGGTGAAGAGAGTTCAACAAGTATTAGTGATAATTATGGCATATTCGAGTGTAGTATTTTATGTCAATTCTGGTAATATTGTACAGTTCTTCTTGTTCCAAATGCTTTATATTTGTCAAGTAAAAGAAAAAATTTTAAATAGTTTTTTGGATGTACAGATCTAACGAAATCAAATAACCTTCATAGATTAATTCTTGTGCGAAATATTGTTTTACACAAAACGAATCTTCATATTTGAATGTTTATCTTCAACTAAGAGATCTTAGTTTACATAGCAAGCTTAGGTGAGGGACTTTTCAGTGCTTTACTTTACATTACGCACGAAGTACTTGTTCATCAACTACGCTTCACAAAACGGACAACACTTCTTGAAGTTAAAATGTTTTCTTTGAAAAACTTTTGTTGACAAGTTTTAATTTTCAGAATTGCAGAATGTGTTATTGGCATGATATAAAACTGATTGATTTTGCGTCACCGATACTAACAGCATGCTTGCATCTCTTTCTTTACAAAAAGAAATCTAATAATCCTTCCGCATAAATTCTGACCTATGGTTCACAAAAACTTCTCTTTTTAGCGAACAGTATCTGCATGTCTACAACATTTTCTAGTGAATGTAACTGAAGCTAAGTACTTGAAAAAGTGCTTAGGTTACAAGTACACAAGTCAGTCCCTGGTGGTTTTCCATAAGTAATTGTACTTACAAGTACATGCATTCAATGCAACTAAATTTACTTGAAAACCTTCATTCAGGTACGTGTTTCATTTATCGTTATTTTATCTTTCATATTAACGTGAAGAAAAAAATACAAAATAAAATTCGTTCAGAATCGTGGAAAAGTGTTTTTTCCTATTCAGCGCACGCGGTAACCCCAAGGTTTTCTATTTTTGGTGAGAGATACTGCCAAAAGTTTAAGAAAAATTTTGAAAGAAAATGGCGAAAAAAAGTTTCCTTGGAAAAATGATGTTACTTTCAAAAATTTTCTTAAATTTTTGGCAGTATTCCGCACCAAAAATAGAAAATCTTGAGGTTATCGAGTGCGCTGAATACTGAAAGCACTTTTCCGCGACTCTGCATGAACTTTATTTTCTATAAATGTTTAGGAGGTGGGGAAATTTGTCAAGTACATTCTCTTAGACTGTTACTAACGAGGGAATCTCTCCAGGTATCCAACTCCATTTGAACTCATATTTTGTGGATCGATAGGGCACATGAGTGTAGCAGAAAGCCTAAAAGGAGTTGGGTTGTTGCGGTTCCCTTCCCGAGTTACGGTTGATTTGGTGAAATTCGAGTTTTTGGTGTTTTTGTTGTAACGCACTATTCCAATAAAACAGCAATATTAGTCCTAATCACAGCCCGTATGCTGCACAAATTTTCAACCTTAGCCTTCTGTCCTTCGTGAGAAATCGAATTTTCTGTTTTTCATAGGGTATCCGCATTGCCTTGCGAACTGACGATGAAAAAAAATCTAATCGTGTAGTTCAATAGCGAAAACACTTGCAAGCAGTTCAATAGAGATAATAAATACTTTTGTCAACTTACGAGTGTGAAAGCAAACTTGATAATGAAAAAGAAAATTATTTCATCTGCAGTTCGTAAGGCAATGTGGACACCCTATGAAACACAAAAAATTCGATTTCTCACGAAGGACAGAAGGCTAAGATTTGAAATTTGTGCAACATACGGACTTTGATTAGGACTGATATTGCTGTGAGTTTCAGCTGTTTAACCTATTGGAATAGTGCGTTAATAAAAACACCAACAACTCGAATTTCACCAAATCAACCGTAACTAGGGAAGGAAGTCGCAACAACCCAACTCCTTTTAGACTTTTGTTACACTCACGTGTCCTATCGATAAGCAGAATATGAGTTCAAATGGAGTTAGATACGTGGAGAGGTTCTCTCGTAAGTGCATTGTACTTAAAAGTAGTTCATAAATAAACATAATTTTGATTCTATTCTATTTTGCTTTTCAGAACTCTATCCGGAGCAATCATGCAACAATCTAAATGATCTCATCTTCGAAAATTTTAGAAAGCTGTCTAAAGTAATCCATATGTTTGAATTAAATGGAAGTCAGTCAAAAGAATTTTTATCCAGTGCTGCAAAAATCTAAAAATTAAAATGGATTCTGGCTGTTGGAAATGAATATCACTCAGAAAACTCTTGAACATCGATATTTTTTCTAATCGAGTGTGTAGACCATTTTATCTTCAGCTTACTTTGCATTGACTGACATTGGTATCCATTGCATGGCAATTTGCGTTAAAACACTAGTCACAAATATAACTAGGATCAACCAACGCGCAACCATTTTTCGTCCGAATTTATCACTTAATGAACCAATAAACAACGCAGATAGACCACCACTTTGCATCACTGTCGCTATTGTACTTCGTTTAGCGCGTGACTTACAAATCATTTGTACAGCTTCAGTAAATGTAAACCCATATACTGATCTATCATAGACCCAACCGTCTGAACCACAATCAACTTTTTCTCTATCACTTGTATAAATATGACATTTATCGTTTTTCGGGATCCACAAATCGATCAGCTTTTCGTGAGTTAAATTCACAATTTTGTACTGATCGTTTGGCCATACGCTGGAGGGCAGGCGACATCTATGCTCAGGTTCAGCTGCACCATAGACATAGTAATATGCAACGATTCCAGCTGATACAGCAAACATATTCAAGAAAAAGAAATGAATAAACTGGAAAAGACCTAAATCTCCACAACGTCGAATGACAGCATCGAGTGTAGTTGCTGTAGTTTCTGACTGTTGATCATTTACAACGATCTCTTGAAGCTATTAGCATAACTCTTAAAATTTTAACGTAAAGGAGGTATGTCGGTTTATACATACCTCTGTAGTTATTGTAACGTCCATGGACAGGAAATCTAAGTGTTGATGAATGTTTGTTCTTTACTATTTCTCTTCTTTTCACATGATATATGTCATCAAGGTGGCCTGTTATCATCGCCATATGCACATTCAAAACAATTTTATTGATACTGTAACAATAAAAGTAAGTAAGTATACCCAGATATCTTTCAGCGTAGGGTGAGACAAAAAATAAAATACGAAACAATAGAAAGGTTAAGCGCTATTTGACCCCTGGAGCTGTTCGTTCACATGCTATTATCAATTTAAGGGCACACCACCATCCTCCGAACGTATCTGTCGTACATCGTGATCGTCATTTCACCAAGAGTGACAGTTAGAATTTGTTTTCATTTCACTTTTTGAGTTTTTTGATGTTGTTGTTCTTGCACCATTGAGGTGCAAGAAATTTTAAATACAATGCACTTACGAGGGAACCTCTCCACGTGTCCAGCTCCATTTGAACTCATATTTTGCTTATCGATAGGACACGTGAGTGTAACAAAAGTCTAAAAGGAGTTGGGTTGTTGCGGCTTCTATCCCTAGTTACGGTTGATTTCGTGAAATTCGAGTTGTTGGTGTTTTTATTAACGCACTATTCCAATAGGTTAAACAGCTGAAACTCACAACAATATTAGTCCGACAGGTAATCTGATTGTTTTGCTTGCACTTAGTTCAACTTTATGAAATAAAATTAATTCTTTCAGTATCTAGTGATAAGCTGCAATATTTAACGACTCCCACATGATAGAGCTAACAATGAAATATAAAGTCAACATTTTGAATATAATCAATACAGACAAATTATAAAAAATAAGAAAGATGTGTTCCTGCATAGTTTTTCAATCACAACCAGATTATCTAACTAATCGTCTTTTTACTGTTAGTTTGTATGGGGGAAAATTTTTTCTTGAAATCTGAAAGAGCAAAGTCCTGGCTTTCGAATGAAAAAAAAGGTAAAAAAGCTCCACGTCTTCCAAGTAAAAATCGAAATTATTCGAGCAGAGAACGGAGACATTTCTTAAGCGGTTCTCTTTTAAAACTTTCTTTTTTCTATTCAGAATATATAATTCATCTGTGAGAAACTGTTTTCCCTATGAATTAGGCGTACACATGAAGAACTGACTAAAATAAACAGAGGTATCATATCATCATTTCATCAATCTGATGCTCATTGAGCAGCTATGTGAACTAACTTTAACCATAGGATTTAGCTGCAAAAAACAATGATATTATGGAAAATATTTCTTATAAATAATTTATATGCAGCATCAGACGATCATTTTGCTTTCAATTGAAATTTACATAATGGATATTTCCGATATTCTGAACAAATATATGTATAACATAATCCATAATCAAGCTGTTCTGTACGTTTTTCACATGTATTATTTTCTTTGGTGATTATTAACAACTCACCTTCGTCTTTACATTAAAAAGATCTTGCTATATTCGGGTAGATATGTTGATAACAGTATATTTTTGAAGTAACAATTATGCGTTACGAAGAAGATTACTTTTCAAACGTTTTTATACTTTTCAACGGACACCAATGACCGTCATCTTTGTGGTATGAGGTAACGCGGTTGTAGATACATTCTCCAAATTATATTTCATGTAAAAAACAGTATACAAAAGTAGTCAATCTGTAGTATGGATAAGCAGCTCAAATTGTATATTCTTATTCGATTATACGCAACAAATCATACCTATCCTTAATCTAAACTGTTTTCTTGTATAGACTTACCAGATTAATCACTTAATAAGCAAAAAAGTTGCACATTACCTCTAGCTACCCAAAAAAAAAAAATGCAACTAGAATCAGGCGGTTGAAGCTAGGTAACATGGTTCAACATGGAAAATCAGCATGAAGAATTACAAGCGCTCCAGTATATTTTAAGGAAAAATCGGATTCATACTTGGCGCCGTTCCCACGTAAGTCCTACGTGGCGGCTTACGTGGGCAATATAATCAAATCTTTTAGTGATCATAGGCTTTTGTTGTAAGCGTCGCATTGACAGTTTTCTATCCATTTGTGAGTTTTTAAGTAATTATGATTATGAGTTCTGAATTTTCCGACTTCTTTAGATCTTTCACTTTTCTGCTTACACTAAGAGTAAAATAATATTTCCTTTGGCCACAACTGTTTTTTATTATGAGCTGCAAAAAGCTGATTTATAGTCCTTGCTTCTTCTCACCAGTTCTGCTCGCTTTTGTTATATTCCAGTGCACACTATCTTAAAAGTAGCCTTTTCTATTTGTTTATTCTATTTCTTTCCTCTTTTGTTAGGCTGCGAACGTTATTCCGGACGCGTTTATTTTTAGGCTTAATCACAAATTTGTACTACTGTTTGTTGTTATCAATTTTTGCACTTCAAAAGCAGTGGCCTATTGTCTAGCATGGGATTACTGTCTCTCGCAGTTTGTATTATTATCGTGTCATTTTCTGATTATGTGCTTTGTAATCGGATTTTATTTTCTATGAATCGTCACTTTATCTGTTTATTTTCATCATCTTTGAAATGAATAACAGAAGTTCTGGTTTGAGAATAGATTTCTGAATGAGCATATTTTTATTGTCCAGAAACATGTCCTTTCGCATCAGAGCTGATCACCTGCATTGTAAACTGCCTGCAACCTGCAGGCAGTGCAGACAGGTTGCAGTTTGCAGGTGAATGAAAAATTTTTCCACTAACGGCCGGCAGATAAAGAAGAATGTTTTTCTGCCTGCACTCCCTGCAGGAGAGAAGATTTTACCTGCATTCACTGCAGGGAAAGACG